AAAGAGTACTCTCTTTGGAGCCCACCATTTCCTTTTTAAAAATGTATTTACTTATTTTTTTTTATTTTAGAGGTGTTTGTCTTAGGGTGTGTGTACTAGCCATAAGACAGAGATAGTGAGAGGGAAAGTGAGAAATCATCCCTGGGACGGTGGGGATGGCCAAGCTGCAGTCCTTTCTCCTCCATTCTCTTCCTGGGATCTTGGGAATGCCTGCACACATGCCTGGCTTGAGTTTCAAGCTACTGGGTCTGGGACTTGAACTGTAGTCGGTCATATGGAAGCACAGCGACCTAACTGCTATGCCATCCGCTGGGCCCAAGCATTCCATTTTAAACCACTCGCACGAGAACATTCATGCCTTCAAGTATGCTTCTCAAGTGACAGAGTCTCAGTCCTCAGACACCATGGTCAGACTCCAAGAAAACAGTAAACTGTGTAACAAGTGTTGTAACTAACTCTCCCCCTTGAGCACCACTAGACAATTGTTATTAAAAACTGGAGGCCTGGGACCAGCAGTTAGCATAATGGCTATGTCACTGGACTCCCATGTAGTCTACGGTGGTTCGCGTCCCAGACCTGGTGGCTTAAACTCATGCCGGGCGCATGTGCATGCATGCCCAAGATCCCGAGAGGAGAATGGAGGAGATGGGATTGCGGCGTGGCCATCCCTCCTGGGGGGTGATTTCTCGCTTTCTGTCTCTCTGTCTCTGTCTGTCTGGTGAGCGCATCTGCCCTATAGCAAAAACCTCTCCAAAAAAAAAAAAAAAGACCACAACACTAGAGAGTGACTTTCTACCCTAGCAAGCAGATGACTGCTGCCTGATTATGTAGGAAAAGGCAGCCAAGTTGGAGGAGTTTATGGTGCAAATAAGTTTAAACTTGACATACAGGTAGAAACTAAAGCCCTAATCTGACTTCTCCAACTAAATGCTCTAAAATATTTTTGCCATCTAAAATAACTTTCCTGCCTCTGGGGAGACAAAAAGAACATGAAAGTCTTAAGTTCCTAAGTTAAAAAAAAAAAGGCATACACACAAAAAAATCTTGAAAAGTAACTTAAATTCTGAAGAGAGAGAATACAGACACATTTCTTAAATTGACCTTATTTCTTCTGAGTGAAACAACCAGGCAGGAAAACAATAAAGGAACAGAAATCCCAACAATTGGATATGTTTTAAAGGTTGATCACAATTATTTTTTAAAAATTGATTCTTCAAAGAATCAATACACATACAAAGAAAAGTAATGCTTTTATTTAGTGTCTTAGGGAGTGAGTGGTTGATTTAAATGATTAACCTGAATCTTCACATATTCAGAACTTAGGGCTGCATACACAGAAATTCTGTTTCTTCCTGGCTGAGAACTTGGTCAATCATTAAAAGTACATGTACTAATAAAAGTTGATAAAAAGCTGATTTGACTCTCCTCTGCTCAGTTATGTTTATTAAAACTGAAAGGTCACTCACCTGTTTGGCTAGAGCACAAGTCAAAGAGTTTAGTGCATTCATTGGCTCTTAAATCTTTCTTCATACACTTTTTTTTTATTGAGATATAATTCACATACCATAAAATGAACTTTGAAAGTAAACAATTCAGTGGTTTTTAGTATATTCACAAGGTTGTGCAAGAGTCACCACTGTCTAATTCCAGAACGCTTTCATCAGCCCCCAACGAATCCCCATATCCCTCAGAAGTTGGTCCTCATTCCTCCACTCTTCCGAAGCCCTCGCAATCGCTATTCTGCTTTCTGCCACTAAGGATTTGCCTGGAATGGACATTTAATTTGCAAAGAATCATACCGTGTGTATTCTTTTTTTGTCTGACTTTTTCCACTTAGCATGATGCTTTCATGTTGCAGTGTACATCAGTATTTCACGCCTTTCTAAGGCCAAATAATATTCTCTCGTATGGATATACAATGTTTTGCTTATCCATTCTTTGGTTCACCCACATTTGGGTTGTTTCTGCTTTTCCTTGCTATTATGCATAATGCTGCTCTGCATATTCGTGTCTAAGTTTTCATGTAGACATGTTTTCAATTCTCTTGAGTGTAGACTTAGGAATGGAATTGCTGGTCATTTTGTAACTCTGTGTTTAACTTTTTGAGGGACTGCCAAACTGTTTTCCAAAGTGGCTGGACCACTTTACATTCCCATCAGCAATGTAAGACAACTCCAATTCCTCTATGTCGTTGCCAACATTTGTTACACACCCCCATTCTGCATAGAAATGGGGAAAGTGGGGCTAGTGATGAAAACCACCTCAATGGTGGCAGACAGAATTCAGCACCAAGATCATAATCAGCACACTTCCCCAGGGAGAAAACAAGAGTGAAATGGCCACTCGGAGCACTCACCTGCTGCAGGTCAGCCAGGGAATACAGATGGATCTGTTGAAGGAGGTATTCTCTGGGAAAAATTCTGAAAAAAAGGGCAGACACACAAGTGAACTGTGGTGTTGTTACAAAACACACTTTTTCTGGTGCACTTCAAAGTCTCAATCAAGAATTCCCTTCCCCTGTCCTTGTCCTTTTCACCTATACTCTTCTTCAAGCCCTTGAAAAGCTTTTTGTTGTTGTTGTTTAAAGAATTATTTTATTTAACTTTATTTTTTTAACTTGACCAGAGAGGGGGAGGGGGGGAAAGAGAGAGAGAGAGAAAGAGAGAGGAAGCAAGCTGTCAGGTCTGGGACTCAAACCAAGGTTGACCATAGGGAAACCAGCGCTCTTAATCACCACGCCACCTGTTGGCCCCATGTAAAGCCTTTTTGTAAAAAAAATAGCTTTCTTTGACACCAGCAGATGGTATAATGGCTCCATCGCTGAACTCCCATGTTGTCGACTCTGGCTCAAGTCCTGGACCTGGTGGCTTAAACTCACGCTGGGAACGTGTGCGTGTGTGCCCAGAAACACAAGAGGAGAATGGCAGAGAACGGATTGAGACATGGTCATCCCCCCTGGGAGGTGTGTGTGATTTTTTGCTTCCTGTCTCTCTGTCTCTCTTTCTGGCGAGCACACGCGCCCTATAGCGAAACCTCTCAAAGTATATATATATTTATAGTTTCTTTGTATCATAGATACCAGGATAGAAGTAAGAGTCTGATATTTAATTTTTAATATGATCTAAAATGTTAGAAGCTTGTACCAGCTGTGTCTTTAATCTGCATGAACTCAGGAAAGTACCCAAACCCATCTGGCTTCAGTTTCTTCACTATAGAATGAGAGTGATTGAGTTCAATGACTCTAAGTATCTTTCTAGCTGTATTATTTTGTCTAAATTAATCAATTTTGTACTGAAAAAGATTGGAGTGGCAACCCATGTGTCATGTATAGAGGCTTCTACAGCTTTCATTAATAAGGGCAGTGGTACTGACTATCTCATTAATAAACTATCCTCTTAGATGTATAGTGCTGATAGTAGAACTTAGGTGCCGATAGAATAGGATGAAATATTTTAAGTTAGGACTCTTGATAAAGTGTAATATCTTTTGTTGTTGTCAGTTGATAGCATCTGTAGAGATGACAATGAACAGGATAAAATGATTGACTATGGACAGACAGGTAACAAAGTTTAGATGGTTAGGAAACACCACACATACAAACTAAACCCAAAGCAAAACTCATGGCTAGCATCTCCTCTCTTTGTCTTACGTGGGATTATGCAATTTCCTTGTCTCTTAAATGGAAGAAATCACCAATTTATTCAATTAATATTTATGATTGTCCATTATATGCCAAACACTGTGCTAGGTACTAGGGAGGCATTAGATGATCACAGTCCTAGTATCTAAGCCTTAGGAATATAGTCAAGTGAGGGAAAGACGTATACGCTGATAATTACAACAGTAATTAACAGTGTAGGAATTGAAAACGGTAAGAGTTATGCATGGGGATGGTGGCCTGTAGGTGGCGCAGTGGCTAAGGCACCGGACTCTCACATGGCTGAGCACAGTTCAAGTCCTGGACCCAAAGGCTTGAAACTCATGCCAGGTGTGTGTGCATGCCTGCCCAAAATCCCAAGAGGAGAATGCATTGCAGTCCCTCTGGGGGATGATTTATTGCTTTATGTCTCTCTATCTCTCCAGAGAGTGCATGTGGCAAAAATCTCTCTTGAAACAAACAAAAAAAAAGAGTTATGCATAGGATATGTATTTTTGGAATGTCTGACATGGTACAGTTCAACCTTTAAAATGGGGGGGGCTTTAAAAAGTTATGGGATAGACTAATGCACTGTATTCAGGCTGGGAAAAAAAAACCCTTTTGTATGCTGTAAAGTTATACAGTGATTATATGTAAACACAATTTAACACACATACACATAAAGATGACAACACATATTCATGGGTATAGCCCAGAAATTGCTGTTAGGTAAAGCAAAATAAAAAACTCTCTTGGTACTCAACACAACAAGTTTTAAACCACTAGTCTAATATCTAGCTCACTGGAAATTCTTATATTAAGTCTTTCAGTTAAGTCTACATTAATTGCCAAATCCTGGAGACTAAATAAATCATCCATCCTTCCAATACTGGGTAAGTGCAAACAGCGTGCCAGGCACTGTGCTAGGCCACCGAGAAAAGAACACTGAGTCAATTAGACAATATCCTTACCATGGAGTCTGGGGTGGGTGTATTCTCATTTGGAGCACTCCTGGAAAGTAGGGTAAGTACTGAAGAGTTCTGCTGAAAATCACTGCTTCCCTCATGGGAGTGATACAGAACCGTATAAGTGAGTGACAAGGGCATTATATGGTGGGAAATAAAATATGGTTTGGTTCCTAATGCTGGGATCTCTTTAACTTGAATGGCTTAGGGCTGCACCTATGGCAGGAAGCAAAGCACAGTTCCACTGCAGCTGGGTAGGGCACAGAGAAAGCACTTAATTCCACCACACAGGACTGGCTTTGCAATAGAAAGGCCCTCTGTTGTGGAAGGTAGGTCATAGTCCCTGAAGTGACTAGGAGATGTAACCAACCTCCATTTTCAATAACATATACAGGATAGAGATGATCAAAAGACCTAGTCCTCATGGCATCCTACAATATTAAGCCCCAATAACAATAAGAGGAGCCCACTTTGGGCTTGGCACTTGACATATGTCATTTCATATTATCACAACAGCCCTGCATGGTAAGTATAGTCTCTATTTTACCTAAGAGGAAACTGAGGCTCAGAGGCAAAGATTAATTTGCCCAGGGTCATGAAGGTGGGATTCATTGCGAGGTCTTTCTGATTCCAAGGGTCTGTGATCCTTCTACTTTCTTAGAGTGTAGTTGAAGGAAGGAAGGAGACAGGTTTGAGTTGACCATCTAGCTATATCATGCCTGTCTCTTCAAAGTAGATGTCTCCTATTGTATAGGCAAGAAGCAATATAGGGCCATGGCTGCTTTTCTAAGCAGGAAGTCATACTGATGTGCTTTTATGCCTTCTTTTTGTAGAGAGACTAAGGCAGGTATCCCTGACAAGGCACTGAGGGTCTATTCTCATAGGGGAATGACAAAGGGATAGTGAAGGGAATGGGTGGGTAGACAGAAGAGAGTATTTGAAAGAACAGTCAATATTTAGAATGAGTGAAAAAGGAGAAAGGGTAGACAGAAGAGAGTGTTTGGAAGAATAGTCAATATTTAGAATGAGTGAAAAAGGAGAAAAGACTGAAGTATCTGGCTTGAATGGTAGAATATTAAGGTCCTGGTCAATGGAAGGCAGGCTGTCAGGGAGGAGATAAAGAATGGAGTTTTAAGGACCAGCAGATAGCATAATGGTTACCTTGTTGAACTTCCACATGGCCAACCACGGTTCAAGGCCAGGACTCAGCAGCTTGAAACACATGCTGAGCACATGTGCATGGGTGTCAAAAAACCCGAGAGGAGACTGGAGGAGAAAGGATTGCAGCATGGTCATCGCCCCTGGGTAGTGATTTCTCACTTTCTGTCTCTCTGTATCTCTCTGTTTCTCTGGTAAGTGCATGAACTCTATAGGAAAAAAAAAAAAAACTCTCTTTAAAAAAAAAGAATGGAGCTTTATATGTGCTGACTATCAAGATACTGTGTAGGGGAACTGCAAGTATGGGTAAGGTACTGAAACACGCATAAAAGCCAGGGGCACAGAGGGGACAGCTGAAGCTGTGGGAATGGATGGAAGAACTGGAGAGAAAGCTGAATAGGAGAGAGCTGAGCATGGAGAAGGGTTACTTGTTTTTACTTTGTTTACTTTATAACATCTAGAACTATCTAGGAGTATACTTTAGTGGTTTACCATTTCTCTCATGTTTGAAAAATGACATTTTGAAAATACCCAGGGTGTACACATGTACTTCAGTTTCTAACATTTCCTCTCAGACCCTTCACCTAACTACCCTTCATATTTATATCTATGTTACCATGGTACACTGACCAAAAGTAAGATATTAACTATTTTATAAATTATAGACTTTATTCAGATTTCACCAATTGTTTCACAAATGTCCTTTTTCTGTTCCAGATTCCAATCCTTGCGTTCATACATTGTCGTTGTTGAATATATTTAAGCATTTACAAGTAGAATGAGACCCAAACTAACGTGTGGAAAGGGAAACCCAGGGCACAGTCTTTCAGTGAGGCCACCAAGGCAGCAGAGTACAATCATTTAATATAGGGACAGAGGATGTTTTAGGTGGTTGAATAGGAGGAATCATTTTCGCAAAGTTAACTGATTACTAATGAAATCCATTAAGTAAGGTAAAACAAAAGCAATGTGGCAGTAGAATTACACAGTGGGGGACAGAGTAGGCCAAGTAAGTAGACTGGGAAATCATCTCATGATCGGCTCCTGCTTCTGCATTTGGTTTGTATTACAGAACCATAGGTCAGCTGAGAAAGAGACAGAAGATGCCTGACACAATCTACAGTAGATGTTTGGTTACTTAAGGTTATTTCTTCTTGAAAATAGTAAATTTTCCCTGTAGGAGTATACAGGATATAGCCTTCCTAGAGTACTGTATAGCCAGTCAGTTATCCAGTCAACAAACACTCACCGAGTACCTAAAATAAACCAGGCATGGAGCTGAGTGCTAGAGAGGAACACTTCGATGAACACGACTGAGTAGTCACAAAGAGTTTCCAGTTTCTCTTTAGTAGGTTGTGCCCTTCTTGCTTCCAAACACGGTTCATTATTCTTACAATAACTAACCAACTTTGGTCACAGTCATCCCTAAAATTCCCCCAATATTATTTCTACCTATGTACTTCATGTTTCCATGTGTGTAAACACATCTCACAAGTTTATTTTCTCTCTCCCTTCAGAAGAGATTCTAGCCCCTCCAGAAAAGCTTGGTCTATCTTCCTCTACCACTCTAAAGTGTCTAATACTATAATTTACCTGAGGTCAGTCACATCAGACATGAAGAACAGAAAACTGCAACATATACAGAAAAGATAAAGAAGCT